CAGGCGCCCGCCACAACGCCTGGCCATTTTTTGGTTGCAGCCGTCATTGTTGTTTGGCGGGTCCGGGCTGGGGACTCGAACCCGCCACCTTAGGTGTACGTGGCTGGCGCCTTAGCCGGTTGAGCTATAGGCGCCGAGCCTAAAATAGTACTTTGAATGAAGGCTTCATTCATTTCATTGAATGCATGCCATATGCCAGGTGTTAAACTCCTTAACTCAGTGCCTGAGGTATGAACATTCTCCCCTCATTACACCAGCCCTCTCTCTAACTCAGTCGGACTGGTCTACTTGCTATCTCTTGAAAATGCCATTTATATGCCTGTGTCTAAATTTTTGTTTTAGAATGAACATTTTTTTGAGACAGATTCTCACTATGTCATCCCGAGTAGAGTGCCCTGGCATCATCATAGCTCACAGCAACCTCAAATTCTTGGGCTTGAGTGATTCTTTTTTTTTTTATTCTTCCTCCTGTAGTGTTCTCTTGCCCCCCATGTAGCTGGGATCACATGGTCCAGCTGGTTTTTTGTTGTTGTTGTTGTAGAGATGGGGTCTCACTCTGGCTCACTCTGCCTCATGCTGGTCTTCCGCTGGTCTTGAACTCCGCTGAGCTCAGGCGATTCACCTGCCTCGGCCTTCCACAGCGCTGGGACAACAGGTGTGAGCCACCATGCCCGGCCTGAGCAATTCTTTTGCCTCCCGAGTAGCTGGGATAACAAGTGCCTGCCACAATACGTGGCTAATTTATAGAGACGGAGGTCTTGCTCTTGCTCAGGCTGGTCTCCAACTCCTAAGCTCAAGCAGTCCACCACCCTTGGCCTTAGAATGAACTTCTGTTTCTAACTATTCTGTCTCCGTTTTCATTTCATTTACTTTAGTTTGCCCTTTTTTCTTTTTTTTTTTAGAGACAGAGTCTCATTTTATCACCCTTGGTAGAGAACCATAGTGTCACAGCTCACAGCAACCTCCAGCTCTTGGGCTTAGGTGATTCTCTTGCTTCAGCTTCCCGAGGAATAGCTGGGACTACAGGTGACTGCCACAACGCCTGGCTATATTTTGTTGCAGTTTGGCTGGGGCCAGGAACTGCCACCCTCAATATATGGGGTGGCGTCCTACACACTGAGCCACAGGTGCTGCCTAGTTTGATCTTTTTTTCAAAGCCCAGCTTTAGTCTTAGTCCTCCTTCCACAGAGCCTCTCAATTGTTTGTTTTTTGTTTGTTTGTTTTTTCTGAGACAGGGTCGTCCTCTGTTGCCCATAGTACAATGGGCTGCAGTGTGGTCATAGCTTGCTGTAACCTCAAACTCCTCAGCTCAAGCAATCCTCCAGTCTCAGCCTCTTTAGTAGCTAGGACTAACAGGCAAGCACCACTACAACCAGCTAATTTACCTTTTTTGAGACAGAGTCTCACTTTGTTGCCCTTGGTAGAGTGCTGTGGCCTCATTGCTCTCAGCAACCTCAAACTCCTGGGCTCAA